GTAACTTGTTCCACAAGTAAGCGTATTGGTAAAGCTTCAAGAGGTAAGCTCTATGTTTAAGGAGTCTTTTCCTGCTTGAGTGCTCCACCATGGTTAGTGAACTATGGTTGGACTGTATGACTGTGATTTAGATGCTTTGTATAGATGCATTCATATAGAGTTATTTGATAACATGATATGTTTTGCTCTGATATGACTTCTGTAATATGATTTCTGTAACAATCTCTGGCCATTGATTGTATAGTACCCGGATGTCCGCTTTGGGGTCCTCCCTCGGGACTGATGGTGTACGCCTCTGATATGTCTGGTTCCGCTTTGGGGTCCTCCCTCGGGAACACGTGTATAATAGCCCAACTTAATTAATTAGTAAATCTAGTGTAATTAATTAATTAAACATGTTTTGGTGAGTGAAATTAAGTATAAGGCTTAATCAAATGAATCTGAGTCACTTTGGAGTTAAAAAGTGTACTCAGTGAAAATTAAGGGGTATAAATGGGTACTGGTGAAAGTGCCCAAAATATAAAAATAAAAATAGTAATATTCCTAGAATAATATTCCAGACTTTTGGGTAAAGTTTGGTAATTATTGGAGTTGAATAGATAGACGAACCAATACCCGCTTAAAGCCACTTAACCTATGTTAAGTGACTTAAGCTACCAAAAGACCCTCATTTCCCCCAGAAACCCGTCGAGGAACAGAGACAAAGAAAGAGAAAGGAGAAGAAGGGAGAGAGAAGAAGAGAGAGAGGAAGGAGGAAACCTTGATGGTTTTGGATGATTCAAAAGCCTAAATCGCTTAGAATCTCGTCCTCTTTCATAATCCTAGCTTTGTTTTGAGTGGGGAGCATTGTGGAGAGAGATATTACCTCTCAAAAATTCGGCCCTTTGGTGAAAATTGGGGTTTTGAGAGTTTTTACCTCCATTGAAGCTTGAGGAGCCATCAATCCTTGGTTGTGTGACCATTGGTGGTAAGATTCTAACCCTTGAACCTCATGATTCCTTGAAATTTGCATGAGTTAGGGTTTATGAATAGTAAATTGGGATTTTGATGAAATGTAGTTGAATTAGCTATGTTTTAGGAAGAATGGAGCTTAGAGCATGTTAGGGAAAATGCTAGGAATGTCATTTAATTGGTGAAAATGAGCTTAGATAGCTAAATGAGTATACTTGTAAAATGGCAAGAATATGATGCTTGATATTGGATTTCTTGCATTGTTGATAAATGGTATGGCTTGGTTGATTGATGATTGTGTCCTAATGATGTCTAGGATTGAGACATTTGGACCGACCGTGAGTGATCAACCGCTTGAACAAGCTATGGAGCTTGAGTAGCTCATTGGAATTGGTAAGCTCACACTTGTGTGGTGTTTTGAATTGAGTATTTGATGGTTGACTGTGAAATACTCTTGGATGCAATGTGTTGATTGCATTACACCATGTGTAGGTGTATGTTTGTAAAAGTTGATTGCTGAAACTGTTGGTGAAGAACAAAGGTTGACTGAAGCATTGAGGTAAGCCTTCGGACCTTGGGTGTAATTCCCTTGACTGTTCTACCAAGCCCTGAAAGGGTGGAGGTTGTGATTGTGTATATAAATGCAATAAAATAGTGTAATGCTTTGTTATACGTATGTGTATGCATTTGGTGTGGCATAGGATGGTGTTTCCCTATGTTGGTATATTGCATGACGATGCGTAAATCATACTTGGTAGTTAGCTGGCCAGTAGGACTATTTGCATCTGAGTTTCCTTAGGACAGCTTGAGAGCTCGAGGGATTTCTCCTGGAGATGTAGTGCACTTTGCATAGATATGTATTTACTGCATTATTATTGTTATTGCTATTACACTGATATGGAACTGTGGGGTGGAGAGATGCTCCAAGGACCCCTGGTTTACTGGATATATTCGTATATCTCACCCCGTGTTGTGGGGACCCCCTTTCAGGTAAGGATGCTGCAGGAGCCTCTGGTGGCAAGTGGCCATATCTGGATTATGCATGAAATATGGCATTTCTTTGAGTTTATGCATGCCTTTTGTAGTTGACATGTATAGGATTTTATTTTGAAAGCCCATGGTCATTTGTATATCTTGATTCATTGGATGAACTTAGCCTATGCTCATGCCTTTGGTTACACCTTTTGTTGATGGGAGCCAAGGGAATGATCATAGTGTTTTGTAAGCTAAGTTCTATGATTTGTAAAGGATATGTAATGTAAATGATGCCTACTTGAAATTCAATATATGCATGCTTGTTATGTATTGAGTTGTTGAATTGGTTGGGCTGAGAATCAATTAGGTACCTTTTGTTTAAATTGGTAAACGATGAGAAAACAAAGGTCATGCTGCCCAAATTCTAGCTAAATCTCATGAGGAGAGGTTGGATGAGTGCTAGGATTTAGTTTTGGGGCATGGACAATTGGGGTTTGTAATGGGGATGCACCTTCCCCTAGGCTTGGACTTGAAAAATGTGGGAATTGGAATTCCCTGGCAGCGCGCTTAAGCGCCCAGGAGCGCGCCCAAGCGCCCTGCTGCCCCTGCGAGTGCCAATGCATTCTGCCTCCTCGCGCTGGAGCGCCCAAGTGGGAGCTTAAGCGCCCAGGATTGCGCGCTGGAGCGCCCTGGCGTGCGCTTAAGCGCCCCTTGCTACAGAAAGTTGGGTGGCTTACTGCCCCCTCGTGTTTTAGCGCCCAGGGTAAGGCTTAAGCGCCCAGGGTTGCGCGCTTGAGCGCCCTGGTCCGCGCTTAAGCGCCCTTCGCCACTGAAGGAGGAGATGCTTCTGCCTCTGCGCGCTAAAACGTCTCCGTGGGAGCTTGAGCGCCCAGGATAGCGCGCCTGAGCGCCCTGTTGCGCGCTTAAGCGCCCATCCACACTGGAATGCCTGATGCTTACTGCCTCCGTGCGCTTAAGCGCCCAGATGGAGGCTTTGGCGCCCGATAGCGCGCGCTTGAGCGCCCGGTAGCGCGCTGAAGCGCGCGGGGCCTGTGACCAACACTCTCTTGTGTTGCTTCAAATTGTCCTAACTTGGACTACAGTGCTCCGATTTGAGCACGGTTTGAAGCCACAGGTAGCTAATGAAGAAACCTACAATATAGTAGAAGTTTTGAACTAAACAAGAAGTAAATTAATGGTTTAAAAATGGGAAATGAACATGATGTTAAGCTTAATTTATCTGTTTCCGCAAGGTAATATGGTTATGATCACGAAATTGGGTATTATAAGTTCGGTACGTTTTAAAATGAAAAATTTATCCGGATTTTAATTGAACCCATGTGATTGTAACTGCGCTTAATATCATAATGCGATGTTAACAAACCGGTTCTAGAACGGGGTGTTACAACGTGCGTTGATTTCCGCTTGGGGTCCTCCCTTGGGAATGACGGCGCACATCTCTGATATGATATGGATATATGCTCTGTTCTGTTATGATATCTGTTATATGTTGTATTTGTATACTCTGTATCTGACTTTCATGCAGGAGTGAGCCAGGGGTATGGAGAATTCTCTATAAACCTGGAGCTTACTGAGATTTGTAATCTCTCCCCTCTTTGGGGACATATTTTCAGGTGCCCAGATTCCCGGTGAGTCCTCACTAGGCAGGGACACGACACGTGGCTGAGGCAGTTGACAGACCGGATTTTGAGTGGCTGTAGGCTACTACCTTTTTGGAGTGTTTGATGTATTTTAGTATTTTCGCATTTGATGGATCATGATATTGATCCTTTATTTTGTATATGGCCTGTATATGTTTTGTACACGTCTGTCGCTTTGATGCATGTACATTTGGGTATTCAGGCACGTTATGTGATGAGGTAGTATTCAGATATGTTTACCTGTTGGATTGCATGCTGTTAGATATAGTGGCACTGAGCCAAGTTATGCATGCGCCCATGGATGGACATTTGAGTATATTTGTATAAACTGTTTATCAGGAAATGCTTCTGTGTGGGATTGGAAAATCCCCAGTTGTCCGATTTATAGAGGAAACTCTGCCCGATTTTCGTTTACGACGAATGAGAATTTAAAAAGAAAAAGAAAAAAAGTTAGCTCGTATTTTCAGAAGTTAAGTCTTCCGCTGTTTTCTGTTTTATCATATGTATGTTAATTGAACCGGCTCGAGACGGGGATGTTACACTCACAAACATTACAAATAAAATAAAAAATCTAAATAAAAAAGAAGACGATTGAATTGAAATAAAAGAAGTTCAATTTAAGTTAAATTCTACGTATTTTGATGGAGTTAAGGGTTTCAACATGTAATATATGTTTGATTATTTATCTTAATATTATAATAAACTAATAATATATAATTTACTGTGAAGTTAGATAAAAAAAAACTAATGCTTTTTAATCAAAAGAAATTTTAACTATAATCTAATTTGATTAAAAAAATAATTTATTGTAATAACTATGAAATTTTTATCTTAAGAAGTTGAGAAAAGTGAATAGGAAGTAGGAACACAATAATAAATAATCTCATAGTCATTGTTTTTTTGGGAGGTAAAATTGATAATCTAAGTTAATCTATAACAGTATTAGATGGTGGACTGGATAAAAAAAATCATAAAAAAATAAATGATAAAAAAAATCATAAAGGAATATGTGATTATAAGAAAAATCATAGTTTTTTCTTCTCAACTTTTACCTTTTATTTTTTATACATGGGCGCTACCTTTCTGGCGTGACCTTACTCATGAAACCATAATTGATTACTAAACGACGAAAAAGCCATGTAACCATATAACATATGGTTTGCGTAATTCATGAAATCTACAAGTTTATGTTTGAGATTGAACCTTTTTTTTTCTTTCTCTGATTTAGTTTTCGGCACGTGCGGAAGGTCGTTGAAAACACGATTTTGACCGTTAAAAATCCGAACCTCAAGGGAAGCTGGCACTATCACTGTGACCTTTTCTCTGTTTTCTGTTCGTTCCATATTGCACTTGTTTTTTCTCTGAATCTGTAGTTTCACTCTCTCTCTCTTTCTCTCTCTCTCTCTCTCCACCATGGATGAAGAATACGATGTTATAGTTCTGGGAACGGGACTCAAAGAATGCATCCTCAGTGGCCTTCTCTCGGTCGATGGACTCAAAGTATTTCTCCCCTTCTTAATCAAAACATTCTAATCTTGATCATTTTACATTGATTAGCTATATAATGTAAGATTTAATGATCATTTAATCTTACATGAATGTGTGTGGAGAATAAAAGCAATTTATTAGATAGTTACTTATATTTTATATTCAAATAGATTTGTGAGAGATAAATGAAAATTAAAATTAAAATTAAAATTTATTGGATAGTGATTAGTATTGGTTACAATGACTTAGGTAAAATTAAGTTTTCGTGTGTTTGATTTATTGGATCAGGTGTTGCACATGGATAGAAATGACTATTATGGAGGAGAATCCACTTCGCTTAATCTTAATCAGGTAAATATTTATCTGAACATGTTTACCAATCTCTCGTTTTTGTTCATTTAGGATCTCCTTGTATATAACCGAACAACTGATTTAACTATCACTATTCTTGAATATAGCTGTGGAAGCGATTCAGGGGCAGTGACAATCTTCCGGAGAATTTAGGCTCAAGCAAAGAATACAATGTTGATATGATCCCAAAGGTATACAAATTTTAGACTTTTGTTTTTTAAACCTTAATATTAATTTAGGTAAAAGATGCGTTTACAATTTTTTTTACAAATTATACTAAGTTTGACCGGTCATATACTTTTGATTAAAATATGACCGGTCAGAGACATAATGTAGTTTGTAAACAAAAAATTTGTAAATATAACCTTCCCCGTTAATTTAACTGTAAGATTCAATTCGGTATCCCTAAATTGCAGATAAAAAATTTATGGTGAATTTTTCATTCAAATTTTGCTTGAAATCTATCATTGAATTTTTTACTACCGGGACACCGGGGTGATCCTTTACCGATTTGGTTGAAAGACCTTGTTTTTTTTTTTCCCCCGAGAGAGTGGTTGTCAAAAAAACTATGCAAATAATTGAACTTCCGTGTAAGGAGGTCCAGTTTCAGACATGTTTTGGAGCCACAAAACCATAAGCTTGATTGTGATGATGTTGTGGTCTTAATTCACTGTGACACTGTTAGAGAGTTGAGCTTCTCCTAAGCTCAGTTCCACTGATCAATGAAAACTACAAAAATATGGAGAGTGTTGAGTTTGAAATCTAAAAAACAGTCTGCTTCTTTACCTGGAGATACTTGAATTTTTGAATTATATAGTCTTGTACAGATGTGAAAATTAGTACTCTATAACTTAACCTACTAATAAAATTTGAATCATGTACCAAAAATTAAACCTGAATCAACAGTGGATTTAACTATTTTTATTAATCGTAGTTGAGAACTTATTTATTTAAGACAGAAAAAGGAGTTGCCATTCTTCACCTTTTCTGTTCAATTTATGCTTCAACAGTTCATGATGGCAAATGGTACTTTGGTTCGCGTTCTCATCCACACAAATGTTACCAAATATCTGAGTTTCAAGGCCGTAGATGGCAGCTTTGTGTACAACAAAGGAAAGGTCTGAAGCTAAGTAAACTTTTCTCTGGGTCTATAGTCAATCATCTTCAATATAAAATATCATTCTTAAGGTCTTCTCTGTCAAGCTAATGAATTTGATGCTTTCTTCAGATTCACAAAGTACCAGCAAATGATGTGGAAGCTTTAAAATCTCCCCTTATGGGGCTGTTTGAGAAGCGGCGTGCTCGAAAATTTTTCATTTATGTTCAAGACTATGATGAAAATGATCCAAAATCTCATGAAGGAATGGACCTTAACCGAGTTACAGCAAAAGAACTCATTTCGTACTATCTCGCTGGCATTTCCTCTGAGTGTCTCTTTTTTGTGTGTGTGTGTGTGAATAATTTCAACAACGAATGATCAGTTATTTTTTTAATATCGTTGCTCTAACAATTTTGTTCATGGTAAACAATTACGATCTTCATATTTTTTTGAACTTAAAACTGGGAGTGACTTCCCATATCAGTGGAAGTTTGCATAATTTTTTATGAAAATAATAGGAAATTTTAAGCTACTAAAAATATTGTAGTCATGCTCAACTTACTGGAGGAATGATATTCTTTCAGGATGATAAAACGTTATGAGCTGTCTCAGAATTTTCTGATTTGGTTATTCATTGCCTTATACTGAAATTCACGTGCTTGTTTCCTAACTATCACCATGTCTTCTATGTGTGAAAAATAACACTGTTTCTAATTAGGAAATATGGGTTGGACGACAACACAATTGACTTCATTGGCCATGCATTGGCTCTACATTTGGACGATGCTTACCTGAATCAGCCTGCAAAAGATTTTGTGGAAAGAATGAAGGTATCTAGTTTCCTTATTTGATAGTTATTTCTGGTTCCAATTTCCCATTATGTATTTCTTAAAAATTGTGATGCTGATCTTTGCAAGGCAGTTCCTAGCTCCTACTGTTTCCTTCAACATATACATTGCATTCTCTTCCAGTTCACATATATGCTGATGACATATAGAATATGCTTGAATAGTTTTGATACAGTTTCTCAATTCTATTTAGGATTAAATTACCTTGTGAGTTTGTGTCAAAGGCTGAAGAAGCAAGGGTGCAATCTATAACTCCTTGCGTCCTGCTCCTGGAATCATAACATTGAATTTTAAATACTGGGAACATGGCTGGTGTGTTTAAATAGCATCGAAGTCAAACAATTTATTTGAAGCCTTCTACTTTGGGGAAAAGAAATGAAAAATAGAATCACGGACATCCTTTTCACTCGAAATTTATTCTATTACGGGAAGATGTGATAGGTGTCTTGCGTGGTTGATTTTTTTTCATTCTTTCAGATTTTCCTGTTTTAGTGGAAGAGGGAAAATCATGAAATCATGGGAATGGGTAAGCTGTACAGCTAGTCAGAAAGCTTTTATCTTTTGTTTCAAATTTCAAATCCAGATATCATATCAGATATCATTACAGCTTTTCATCTTTGAACTTATCCAAGATTTTCTCATTGAATGATTCCTGGTTTTTGTGTGCTCATCATAAGATTTCTATTGAGAGTAGTGGGTTTTTCCAATTGTGAATATGCTTGTGCAAAGTAACAAGTGTGGAATTCTAATTTATTTTAACCGTGGTTTTACTAAAGCTATATGCAGAGTCTTTAGCACGTTTTCGAGGTGGATCTCCTTATATTTATCCACTCTATGGACTGGGAGAGCTTCCCCAGGTTTGTAACATACATCTCAAGCAGCAATAGAGTGTGCCTTGGGAATCTTATAAACTTCGACTACCTTGATGCAAAATTGGCAGGGATTTGCTCGTTTGAGTGCTGTTTATGGTGGCACCTACATGCTGAACAAGCCAGAATGCAAGGTAATATATGCTTGAGAGTATAAAAAAAATATGAATGCCTTATATGGGATGATATTCTTGACCTACTAATTATCTTACAGTGTGAAACTTAGAATCAATTTTTGGTGAGACATGATCTGCTCCGTTGTTCTTGCATTGGTTTTGCACTAGTCCAACTAAATATAAAAATTACCATACTTGAGCTGGGAATTTTATTTTATTTTTTATATATATCCACCGGTTAATCGATTACCTGAAAACTTCGTACCACTTTGAACCAATGGTCGTTGGTGAGCTGGGATATTTTTTATCTTCAGAATTGTTGTAAGTTTAATAATTGACGACCCGCTTCTTATGCCCAGTAATAGTTATTGAGTATAAAGATTTTATGTCATTACTCTAACCTTCATTTACTAGATCCGAGCCCAGTTACAGATAAAAGCTAGAAACCTAAAATGCTAAATAATGAGAACTTGTTGATCAAATACGTTTTAGGATGTACTTGAATCTTTATCTAGCTTGACCGCTGTAAATATTTAGTGAGGTAGCGGGGCATGATGCTGGATGCTACTAATTTCAGGTTGAGTTCGATGAGAATGGAAAGGCCAGAGGTGTGACCTCCGAAGGAGAAACTGCAAAATGTAAAAAAGTTGTTTGTGATCCTTCGTACTTGCCAGACAAGGTACGTAACTTGTAACATTCATCACATAGGAAGATCATCCGAGTTTTGTTTCCTTCAAATGAAGCCATCTATCTATCAATAGGTGAACAAGGTTGGGAAAGTGGCCCGTGCTATTTGTATTATGAGCCATCCGATCCCCAACACCAACGACTCTCCGTCAGCTCAAGTTATTCTGCCTCAGAAACAACTTGGGCGCAAATCAGATATGTATGTTCGTCAAACTTTTATATATTACTATATTAGTGATATACTCTTTCTTTTCTGCCTAAACCTCTGACAATTGTGAATTGAACTTGTTTCCTATGTGTCTATTAATGTATTACGTGAAACTTAGGCGTTTAAGCATCGATAAGTAAATAATTGAATTCACTGTTAAGCCATCAACACTGAGTTTGAATGCTCAACTGCAAGATTTGGTGGGCTAGGTTCAAACATTTGCTTCAGAAAATTATCTTTCTACCAAGGCTATGTTATTTTTCTTTAAAAACACTAGCCATGTTGAGAAAAGTTGTTGCCACAAATGAGGCAATGTATCAACCCCCCGAATATATGTGTTCATGGCAATATATCGCAACAAAATATTATTTAGGCTGGTGGCTACGTCAACTTCTTGTTATGTTACATTACATTAAATTGGGTTAACCCATGCTTCAGGTACCTTTTCTGCTGCTCCTACTCGCATAATATAGCTCCAAAAGGAAAATATATTGCTTTTGTCACAACAGAAGCAGAGACCGATAATCCTGAGGAAGAATTGAAGCCTGGCATAGATCTCCTTGGTCCTGTGGATGAAATCTTTATTGAAACTTACGATAGATTTGAACCTACTAACCAGCCTGATGTTGACAGTTGCTTCATTTCCACAGTAAGTATAATTTAAAGGGAATTTTATTTTCTTGGATAAGTGGTTTCACAATTTATATGGAGCTATGATAAGACTTTGTGTAATTGATATCCGTAAAGAATCATTTCACCCAAAAGTTTAAACTAATAGGTAAATATTAATGATTTTATATATCTCTAACAATATTCTCTTTTTCTTTTCCTTCCGAGCACTTTTCGGATGAGAGCAGAGGTTTACTATTCCATTTTCATCTAGCTCCCTAGCAAGAATGTTAGGACATTGCTAACTCTGACTTGGCCGTATAATGTTATCCGAATTAAGTATGCTTATATATTAACTTCTCTGGTCGCTATTTTGTTTCACAGGGTTTTTTGTATAGGAAAGAATTTTTACTGCATATTTAGCTATACTTCTTGTAACCATTGATCAAATGCTGAAAATATATATTTTACAGAGCTATGACCCGACAACACATTTTGAAACCACAGTGAGAGACGTGATTGCCCTGTACAGCAAGATAACTGGAAAGGTAAATAGTAGTTCTGTCTTACCAAGTGAGCAAAAAGTTGCTGGTTACTGTTTCGTAATTGAATTCTGTGTAGATGTCCAAGAACTGCAGAATTAATTTGTCCATTTTTGCGGGTTAGAAAGTATAATGGAAATTATGGTATTTTTAATTTTTTTGGTTTTAGTCTTCAGTGACCAGAATTAAGCATCCTTATATTAAAGACCTAAGACAATTGTTCAGAAGTATTATGTTTTTGTTCTATAATGATATTCCATGGGCAGATCAGAAGTACACAATTTAGTATAATAGAAGTAACAAGAATCACACACTTGTTTTGACTGTCAGCTCTCTCAATTGTTTTCTCTCAGCAGGTTGCTGCACTTCTTGCACCAATAGTAGACTGTTGGGATATAATATGTACAGATTTTACTTTTCTTTCTAAATAAACAGATTTAGGAGTAAACAATCATTTGGGTCCAAGATACAACCATTTCTTTTTCTTTTTTTTTGGTAAAACAACCATTTCTTTTAACTTGGAAAGTGTCAGTGACTTAGTTCCCAGGAGAGTATTGCTTTCCCATTTTAGCTGAATGAAGGGTATTCGACACTACAGTATTATTTCAACTAATTCATTTTTTTTTAATTCTTCATATCTCAGGATTTGGATCTGTCTGTGGATCTGAGTGCTGCCAGTGCTGCTGAAGAATGAAACTCAAGTTCAGCGGTTGAGTTCGCATCAGCATCATTGCGCCAACTCTGATATTGTACTTTCTTAATTCTTCTTCCCGAACTCTGAAATTGATTTAGACTCAGTTTCTGTGCTGTCTCCTCTCTTCAAGGAGCCATGAGAATTCTCCTCTTCATGCCATTTATTTGCTTTTATTACTATAAGGCATAACCTCTTGATTATTGAACATTGGAAAAAGATGTAACGAAGTTGATTCCCAACAAATTTCTGAAGAATATTTTTATTCCTTTTCCTTTCTCCTTCTCTGACTTCTCAAAATGCTAATACCTTCAAACCAAATTTATGATCGCTACGTGAGAACGGGATATCTTCCAATAATATAAACCATTAAAAAAGCTTTCACCCAACATCTTAGGGTTTTGAGTTAAAATGATTCTTTACATAGTTCCAAGTGACCATAGGATCACAAGTTCAATCTTTACTTGTCCCTCTTTTCTAGTGAAATTAAAATAAACACAAGATAAACCAAAAATTAGAGCAGTGTAATATCCACCCTTCAAGCTTAAAGGACTTTTGAAGGAGAGGATGTGTTAGAAAATAATATAAATCAATAAAAAAATTCTCATCCAACACGTGGTAGATCATTGCTTCACAAGATCAATGGATTCTCGAAATATTGCCATACAACCTCCAAACGATATTAACCATTCAACCTCCTTACTAGATAATATTATATGCCTTTTTCTACATACTAATATTTATATACCTGGCTTGAGCATTTACAATGTCCGTATTTAAGCCAGCCTAGACCTTGTCTACGTTATCAGCTCCTCTACCTGGTGATGAGGATTAAGGACTGATAACCCAACCGAATTAAACTCTTGGACCAAATCATCATTTTTGGTTCATCAAGAGTTAGAACCTACGTATTATAGTTATGTGGCATTGGCTTGTTGCTTCGTGTGTTAATTAATAATTAGTACCCAGTAAATAGTATCTTCCTCTGAGAAGAAAAAAAAAACAGTAATACTATAATGACTTTAATAATTATTTTAAAAAAAGGATTAATTTTTTACAATAATCATTCACCAAAGACGGCTTGCAGAAGTTCGTTTCATGGGCATGAGTTGTGCAATTTCTCTGCCAAAACCTACATACAGGTGTTTCATTTTGAAGGCCTCCATACAGGTTTTTCAATGCAACTGACGCATGTAAGTCTTTCATTCAGTTTTTGACATTTGGATTATTTAATTTTTTTAACTTCTCGTCCGTACGATTTACATCCCCTCTCTCTTTTATTTTAATTGGTTGGTCGCACCCAATGAATGGTGCGACCGTAGCACAATAAAAATTTAGCTGTAGAAGGCTGGTTTAGAGACAACAGTCTCAGCAGATGAATTTGCACCAAACGACCAAAGAATAAAATGATTTAATTTCTTTTTCTCCGGTGTTTTGACTTAAGGATACATAAGCAAGAAAAGCAAGAATTTCTCGAATACACGTGAATCTAAACCATATATCCTGAAAACTACAAATGCTACTTTACTCCCTTTTTGATTTCGAGAGAGCTTTCTTCCTCTGTGCAAGCATGTATCTATACATGTGAGGGCTACCTACATAGAATTATGCAATCCAAACAGTAACAAGGTCAACAAAAGGAAGATTAACCAAAGGACATTGGTGTCAACTGTCAAGAAAGATATTGAGTTCATGCCTGGAACGTAGATTCCCAAAGCAACAATAGCAGCATAGAAGTAATCGAATGAGTAGTTCCATTTGTTTGGCATCCTTATGCAATACTTCTCAGATGCCTGAAAAATATTCTACGTCAACTTGAGTCATCAAAAACCAACATATCAAATAGTTCCAGAGTCAACCAAACTTGACAGACAATCAAGTCTCTCCCCATTTCTCGTTTAAGGAATACCAAGAAAATGCAGGTGTTCAAGGTTTTGAAATATCAACTAACAATAAACTCAAGGGCAATGCAGAATGCAAAGTTTCACAAAAGAGAAGACTGCTATTTCCTTCTTGACTATAGATCAAACTCTATAAGTCCCTCCTTGTATTGTGGAAGCACCCTTACAGGACTTGCCCTCTGTTTGATGATTAGTAAATATAAGGGCAAAAGAGCAAACTATATATTCGTGATGATCAAACAGAACAAAACCAGTGGGTCTAGATCTCCTACAGGATTATAAAAGCATTGTGGACATTTGCTGCTCTGATTCTTTACCTTAATGAATGGCAAGGCAATGTATATTAGACCAACTTCGCTGCTGATGCCTGTTGGATATAGCACTAAGAAGGTGCTATATCTGCAAGCAAAAAGTTGTAGTGAATATAACAACAATACAAGAATTACCCAATACCCACTACTATACTCCACACAGCAGGCTTAACATTCAAACTTCATACCTGAGCCACAAAAGCCATGAAGGGGAAAATCCAAAAGCCTCTTTCAAGCCAAAGAAAGAATACCGAATGATCTACAATTGAAACAGCAAAGATTATCAATATTAACCTTTGTTAATTGTTCTCGGACCTTTTCGATGAATCGCTTTTCCATGGAACATAAGCAAAAGAAGAATTGCAGAGGAATTCACCCCACTCACTGCTTTAAATTGCAAACTGAATGTTCTTATAACCATTAAATCTATGAATTTAACATTTTATGTAAAACAGACCTACTCGAGTATGTTTCTAATTAATGTCATCTTGAATCTCTACTTTCACCATTTTAATTGTTCCACATCAATGACATCAGGACTGCCTAGATATGCCTGGCACAAGAAGCAGACATTTGGAAATTATATTATTTGAATACCCCAAATCATTATAGATAATCAGTTGAAAATCCATCCACTTACAGGAAGTTTATCTTTAGCATTGTTAAATATAGCATATAGACTTGTCAAAATTTACTGGGAGATATTTCCAAAAATTGATTGGACTCGTAGCTATAATTTGAGGCTATTTTGAAGGTGGAAGTGGGATCCCGCAACCATACTACATTCATCATTAACGCCAAGTAATAGTTTTACTGTAGTTTTTGCACTCTCGTTTTCCATCAAGTATGATAGTAGAATTTACAAAAAACTGCCAGACAGGAAGCGGAAGAAAACGTAAATATGTACCAATACAACAACAAAAAAGCAGGAAATCATGAAATCATGAAATACTTGCCTCGGTGATAGACCAGCTGATTAATAGGGAGCTTACGAGCACATGATTCCGAGTCTGTGATTCAAAGATATAGGTAACTTTTTCCAATAAAAGATTATGGTTGGAAGTTAAATTAATTTATTAAATGAAAGCAAAAGAAAATAAAAAAAGTTCAAATTTGTCTTAACCTCAGGGAAACTCCATAAGATGCCCCAAGCCAGGTACAACCTTGAACCTATCTGTGGCAAGGTTGCTGTTACTGGAGACCGCACCAGCCCTTCATCATTGAAAAAAAAAAACAAAAAGAGAGAATATCCATAACCAAACAGACACTTAACATTAATTGATTTAATTCCCATTTTTTTCATTAGCCCATAGTAATGACAACGAGCAACGGATTACTCACCTACCAAACCATGTAGAATCTAGCACACCATGCAATCCAACGCCACACCAAAAACCCCAGAACACAAAAAAAAAAAAAAAAGAGAGTAGAAACATAAGTTAATTCACACGAGAAACTTGGAACATTTTCCGATAAAACAAACAAAAGGGTGTCTCAACATTTAATAAAAATCAGTTCTTTTGGGGGGGAAACACCTCCAGCACAGCAGCGGTTTGAGCAAAAAGCAAAGGCTTTTCGGCTGCATTGTATACATTTTCATGGCCCGATTCCTTCAACGTCTTCAAAACAATATACAGAACCCGAGACCTGCGCAAATTTAGAAACTTAAGAGGTTACATTAAGAAACGAGGGGGCTAATGGTTAAGGAGAGTTGGTAAGAGAAATTGAGTGTGAGTACCATCCAAAGAAAACGGTCCAGTTGTAGGCAGTGAGGTAGAGGCGCCTGAGAAGGGAGAAGAAACCCGCCATGGAGGTGAAAGTGATGAGCTGAACAGAGTCAGAGAGATCTGGATGAAGGTGGAGAAAGAGAGGAATGGAATTCAAATGAATGTTGAATAAAAAAAGGGGGTATTGATAATTAAGGAGACAAAGAAAGATGGTGTTTGTGACTTTGTGTGTCTGGTCTTGTTATTACTCAATTAAAAATGGCATTGGTTACAGTTATTAGGGTAGTTCAACTCCCCAACCATATTCAAAGTAAAATTGAAGTTGTTGTTTCTCGTTGGGCAGCTTGAAAACACAATAAGAAAATTGATGATTTTTAACAGGAGTATAAGTCCAAAACTACGGGGGACTGAAATTTCTAAAACTATGATTTGTTACTGAAATTTTTGTCTCTATTTCTTTTTTCACGTGCATTAAATAAATGAGAGTCCAATATTACATAATTAAATTATATGAAATTTTATCATGAGATAATCCATTTCTCAAAATTACAGTTACATCATCTTTAATCTTCTATTCTGATTTTTAAAACGTGATTGTGGTAAAAAAAAAAAAGTTCAAAATTAATTTGCCTTTAAAATGAATAACTATGAATAAATCTACTTTTAAATTTTAGTAATGAAATGTGCAAGAACAAATTGTGAGTCTTCTTTTAATTTTACATATGATTGTTAATGAAATTGATTCTAACTGTTTTTTTAGTTTTATTTTATTTTATGTCACATACGCATTTAACTATTTTTAACTACATGTATTGATTATTTAAGTTATTATGAACAAAACCCATCATCTAATCAAATGTGTCTTCAACTACGTACTATAAATGAACCACATTAAGTGTTTTTACCACTTTAACAAGCATCCATATTTTATCACGTGTCACGAATTACGAATTTTTTTTCATAATAACTACCAAACCAATAATAGTAAAGAGTCTTAAAGAATAATATAAATCATTAAAAGGCTCTCATCTAATATCTTAAGATTTTGGGTTGAAATAATTTTTTTGCATAGTATTAGAGCTTCTGTGACCATAAGGTAAGGTAAAAAAAAAATTTAGATCCGTGCAATATCCACATTTAACTCATAGAACTCTCGTGTGAAATGGTGTGTTAGAAAATAATATAAATTATTAAAAAAATTCTCATCTGATATTTTAAAATTTTGAATTGAAATGATTCTTTAAAAATAATAGCATGGATTAACAACAATTTGAATCTCCTTATATATTATTTAGTTATCCTTCATCACAATAAAATGGTGTTCATCCGCATTTTCAAAATTGATCGACATTATTTCACTACAGCAGGATGTACTTATTAATAATATATTTGATATATGAACCCAGGGATCCAAAATCGGCTAGTTCAAATATATACATATTTTGGCCCTTCATCATTTCTTTTCAATGCATCTAGTGCTAGTCCTTCCACACCAGACGTGTCTCCATCTAGTAATGTTCAGCCATATCAACTCATCAAATTTAATTTAGAGCCCATTTGTTTGAGTTTTTCAAAAAAATAACTTTTATCTCTTCTTTATTTTAGAAGTATTTTTCATAAAAGTTAAAACTATTTATATTTTTATAAAAAATATTTAATTTTTTAAAAAAAAATATTTGACTTTTGACTTTTGCTTTTCTTAGAAGTTAAAATTTTTAGCTTCTGGAAAAAGTAGATTTTTGATTTTTTTTTGTGACTTTTGCTTTTTTTAAAAGCAGACATCCAAACGAACTAAAAATGAGAAGTGCTTTTTTTTTCTTAAAAAAAGCCGCTTTTGAAGAAAAAAAAACTCATCCAAACGGGCCCTTAGAGGAATATATTGAGTGAGATTTCATCTTTATTCCACTTTTATCTTTTTGAGTTAGTTCTTTATGTAGGAGCAATTAGTTATGCAGAAACGCGTTTTAGACCATTGTGGTTTGGGATGCAAACGGATTATCATCGTTGTACTGATTTATCTCTTGGTGCACATATCTCGTGCAAAATCTTTCCATGTATGATTCCTCTTCACAAACTGTTCACCTCAGCGCCGTAGCACGAACAACCTCCTTGAAGCTAGACAGTGACAGGTCTTTCAAACTATGTCTCAAGGGGAAATAGGAAGTGTGTGGGCATTCTCTCACTTTCAGATAGATGACATTACCTCAGCCTCTGCAACTACTAAGTTAATACTTGAGAGGCTGATGACTATAAATGTAGAATATATATGGGTTCTAAGAAATCATAGTCCTAAGCTGAACGAGCTCTATGTTTCTTGGGCTCTTCTTACACATTAAATCCAATTGGGCCTTAGTGAAAGAACAAAACCCAACACTTTATATTCTGAAAAATAATATCATAGTGTATAAGTGTTTTCAAGTTCAATCTATCCCTCAATTAATTTATAAAGAAGTAAATATTTTGGAATTTTTTTAACACAAACTGGTAGACTTGTGTATTTTTCATCTTTCAAGGCCAATGGATATTTATGTGGAAGAGCATATTAGATAAATATAATATAAAATTATTAATGTGATGTTTATTGAATAACTTAATCTTTTGACCTGGAATAATTCTTGAAAATTTTAAATGTTATGAACAAAAAGAGTTATATAAGAGGTATTGTTAAAACTTTTGACTTGAAATAGTTCTTGAGAGTTTTAAATATTATGAACAAATAGAGGTATAGGACCTCAGTTCATGGGTGGGCACAATTGGTTAAGGATTAGGCTCATACTTCACATAGGCATGAGTTCAAATACCGCTGATCAATATGAGAATTTTATTAGTGGGTGATCTGTAGTCCTTCTCATAAATCCTCAAAGAGGTTGGGGGTTTGTCTTGATACTGGTGGGATATTGATGTCTAACTCACCTAAATTTCTCATTAAAAAATAAAACATAAAAAATAGAGGTATAGGACATGGACAACAACATATATATATATATATATATATATATATATATGTGTGTGTGTGTGTGTGTGAAAAGAGATATTTTGGCTTTAGAGTGAGATTTGCAAGTCTTAATTTATATTTTAACCGATGATTTTCGTCCATCTAATGGTTGTAGTTTAAGAAGTCATACTAATTAACTAATTATTAATTACACTACAAGTCTACAAATAACAACAATTGATTTTCGTCCATCAACGGCTATATATATACATATGGAGAGATATTTTGAATTTAGAGTGAGACTTAAAAGTCTTACTTTGTATTTTAACCGTTGATTTCCATCCATGTAATGGTTATAGTTTAAGAAGTCATACTAATTAACTAATTATTAATTACACTACAAATAACAACAATTGATTTCCGTCCATCAACGGCTAAGAAAGGGAGTAAGACTTCTAAGTCTTACTCTGGAGTCAAAAGACCCTCCCCTATATATATAGGGATTATTGTTTGTTATGTCATTGGATGGTCAAGTCATGATTAAACTACGTCATTTTGTTTATTCATTTTCTTATATTAATTGATTCACCTTTGTATGGTTATGATTCTTTTTTTCTCTTTCTTCATTTATTACCATTGAACCATCTATATACGGTTATGATATATTGAATTAGATCATTTTACACCGGTGTAAGACATCTCAACCATTGATTTCAGTACATCCAACGGTTATAATTTAGGAACTCATACGAATTAATTAATCATTAATTATACTACAAATATCAACCGATGATTTCTGTCCATCAACGGTTGAGATGTGGTGTAACACTTGTTAGTCTTACACTAGTGTAAAAAGAACCTCCCCTTGTATATATATATGAGAGAGGTATACTTACAACCTAAAAGTTTTACAACCTTCTACCATCAAATCTTAATCGTTGATTTTCGTCAATATAACGACTATAATTTATTGGGAATTAATAATTACTTAATTAGGGTGTGCATGACAACCATTCTAATCCGTAGCACTGTTTCTGAAAAGAAATAATTCTTTTCTATTTATGTTCCTTGGAACAGTTTCTGAGAAAAAAAATGTGTTTGATAACATGTTCTATTTTTATTCCGAGAATGAGAATTGTGTTTGATAACATGATAAATAATATAATAAAAAATAATTCCTATTAAATATAAAAAAATTCAGATCATCACTTTCCTTTCCATATGGTGTGGTTGTGGTGGTGGCGGTGGCGGGGGGTGGCATGGTGGTGGCGGCAGTGACGTGGTGATGATAGTGGTGGTGGTTGTGACGGCAGTGGCTGCGGCGATGGCGGTGGTGATAGTGGTGGGGATGGTGGTTATGGAGGTGACGGCAGTGACTGCGACAATGGTGATGGGGATGGTGGTTGGTGGCGTTGCTGGTGGCGACAATGGTAGCGGTGGCTTGGTGGTGGTGGTTGTGATGGCATTATAGAGGTGGTGGTGGTGGTGGCAATGGCTGTAGCGGTGGCGGTGGCGGTAGGTGACAATGGTGGTGGTGGTGGTGGTGTAATGATGGCGATGATGGTGGTGGTGACGGTGCCGGTAGTGGCTGTGACGATGGTGGTGGTCGTGGTTGGTAGCGGCGGCAATGTCGGTGGTGGCTGCAACTATGATAGTGGTGGTTGGTGACAGTTCTGGTGATGGTAGCGGTGCCGTTGTGGTGGTGGTAGTGATGGTGATGGCGATGGCGGCAGTGATTGCGATGGTGGTGGTGACGGTGATAGTGGCGGTGGTTGCAGCGGTGGTAGTTGTGGTAGTGGTGATGGTAGCAGTGCCGTTGTGGTGGTGGTAATGGTGGCAATGGCAATGGCAGCAGCGGTTGCGATGATGGTGGTGGTGGTGGTGGTGGTGACGGTGATGGTGATAGTGGTGGTGGTGGTGGTTGCAACGACGGTAGTTGTGGTGGTGGTGATGGTGGCATGATGGTAGTGATGGGTGGAGGTGGTGGTGATGGTGGCGATGACATCGTGGTGGTGAGGGGTGGTCACGACAACACTAGTGGTACGACGGCGGCGGCGACGATGGTGGCGGTGGTCGTGTTGGGATGATAGTGGTGATGGTGATGATGGTAGAGATGGTGAGTGATTAAGAGAGATAACTGTTTCTCATTTTGTGCCCGGGAATAAAAAAGCAGAAATTTTCTGATTCTTTTTTCTGTTCCTCAGCACAAAAATTAATCTGGTTCATCCCGGGAACAAAAAAATAAACCGATTTTACCAAACGAGTTTTCTATCCATTTCTGTTCCCGGGAACAGAAATTAAAAAAAAAAATTGATTTCAGGAATGTTGTCATGCACACCCTTAGTGTGACCTAATAAAATTATAACCGTTAGATTAACAGAAATCAACGATTAAGACTTGGTGTAAGAGGTTGTAAAACTTTTAGGTTGTAAGTATATCCCTCATACATATATATATATATATATATATATATATATATATATATATATGGGAAGGATCCGTTTCCAAATTTGTTTTACACATTTTTGTAAATTACATTATGTATTTCAGGAAGTACATAGTGTAACCTAGTGTACTTCTGGGAGTACATAGTGTAGTTTGTAAATAAAAAATTTATAAATATAATCCTCCCATATTTATATATATATATATATATATATATATATATATATATATATATATACATAGGGTTAGGATCATTTTACACCAGTGTAAGTTACACTCTTAATCTTGTCCGTTAATCTCACTTATATTTAAGGGCTCTAATTTTTTAGTAATGTGAGCCATTATATACAAGTGGATCAGTGGTCAAGATTGAGTGTAAGACTTCTAACTCTTACACCGGTGTAAGAATATCCTGCCCCATATATATATATATATATATATATATATATATAAGTTAGGATCATTTTACACTAATGTAAACCTACACTTTTAATCTTGTTTGTTGATCCTATTTATATCTAAGGGCTCAAATTTTTTAGTAATGTGAGCCATTAGATACAAGTGGATCAATGGTTAAGATTGAGTGTAAAACTTCTAACTCTTACACCGGTGTAAGAATATCCTGTCCTTATATATATATATATAGGGTCAGGATCATTTTACATCAGTGTAAGTTACACTCTTAATCTTGTCCTTTGATCTCATTTATATATATATATATATATATTTTTTTTGTAAATAAAGAGGGGCTAAGCCCCAGAAACAGAAAGAAATTACAAATCAGAAACTAACAAGCTAGACATATTTCTAGCATCAGCAACTATAAGTTCCATCAACTGAGGAGGAGGATCTTTAAAAATCTTGAAATGGAGATTATTAGTCTGCCTAGCTTTAGCTAACCAATGAGCACATTTGTTGTTTTCTCTCTTGGTATGAACAAGATGAATAGTCCAATCTGCTTTTAACCATAATCTCAATCTGCTAGTGACTTGAGAGTCCCTAGGATCTTCATGCTGCTCCTTTAACATCTGGATGGCTTGGCTAGAATCACATTCTAGCTCTATTCTTTTTAATCATGTTCCCCAAAGCAGTTCCAAACCTTTCAGTAATCCCCATAATTCTGCATCAAGAGGATTGCAGGAACCTAAATTACAATAGAAGCTTCCCAAAAAGGATCCATTGTGATCTCTTAATATACCACCACAACTAGTTTTTTTCATGCCACTAGAAGAAGCTCCATCACAATTCAACTTAACCCACCCTTGCTTGGGTGCTGTCCAAACGCTATCGTTGGAATCACCACGACGCTGATAAATTCGGGCTTGCAGAATCTGTTGGACAAACATCCAAATTGAAGCCTGTGATTGCTCATCATGACAGAAATGATCTTCATGGATCTCCAAATTTCTCCACTTCCACAAAAACCAACAAGTAGTAAAGAAAATATCCCTCCAGTCCTTCACTTTATTGGAGGACCACATGTTATCGATATTTAAAGTCAACCAATCCTGCAAATTCGAATTCATAAAGGAATTGGGTATCGAACCTGTAAACCAAGATTGCCAAATCTTCCTAGCATGTCTACAATCACGAAGAACATGAATAATAGTTTCCTCATGATTTGGACAACTGGGACAGACATTTGAACCTCCGCTCCACTTACTGGTTCTGCTGCGCACTGAAAGTTTAGCAAGCAAAGTCATCCACATAAACACTTTCACTCGTTCTGGTCCATTCCACGACCAAACTTTTTTCCATAAGCTAGTGTGAACATCTGCTGGGAGGTTCATAAGATTACAGTAAGCGACCTTAACCAAAGAAGTCGAGTGATGATTATTGATCCAAACTAATCTATCCTCCCCATTCCTTGGAATAAGCCTGAGATGATTTGTTACTGCATCAGCCAAATCTGACTCCAGAAAATGATGAACAACTTCAAGACGGAAACCATCATCCACCATATAATCTGCAATTGATTTCTGACTCTCCTCCCACGGCACCTGATTGCTCGACAACTGCTGCAAATTTTCCTCCCATCCTAACCAGTTATAAGTCCAAAGCTTTACTTCAGAACCATCTGCTATTTCCCATCTAAGACCAGCAAGGAAATTACTCCAACATTTAGCAAGATCACGCCAAAGTTTAGAGTCATATGATTTTGCCTTTATACCTCTCCTTAAGTCTTGACCTCTACCATACTTGGCTACTAAAATCTTAACCCATAAATCATCTTTCTTAGTTAACACCTTCCACGCCAGTTTATGAATATAAGCTTCATTTTGGAGTCGAAGGTTAATTATTCCCAAACCACCTCTATCTTTGGGTTTATACATTTGATCCCAAGCTACTAAATGAGCCCGCCTTCTGCTATCCTGATCTCCCCAAATGAAAGCCCTTTGTATCTGCTCAATTTCATCACAAAACGTTACTGGTAAAGGACCATTCTGCATATGGAAAGAAGGGATTGCAGCAATGACCGATTTCACCAAAGTAACTCGACCAGCAAAAGAAAGGCAATGGCTTTTCCAACCATCCAGTTTTGAACGTATCCTATCCTTGATAACTCCATAGTCTGCTTTAATATATCTCCCTTGTTTAACAATAGAGCCTAAATATCTGCCAATACTAGAAGTGCGCTTAAAGCCCATTCTGTTGACAATCCTTGTAGCAACTTGAGTATCAGTATTCGGGGAAAAATAAATCAAAGATTTATTTGCACTAACACTTTGCCCCGTATCTGCTTCCGCAAAGAGAATGATATCATCTGCAAATAAAAGGTGGGATACACTCGGCCCTCTTCTGCAGACTGTAATAGGCTTCCACGAACCCATAGTCACTTTTTCAGCGATCAAGTGGGAAAGCTTATCAACACACAACACAAAAATATAAGGAGATATTGGATCCCCTTGACAAATTCCTCTCTGAGGAACTATGCAATCCGAAGCCACACCATTTATCAAGACCCTCGAACGATTAGAAGTTATAGAAGCCATTATAACACCAATCATCCAATCAGGAAACTGAACTTCAATAAGCACTTTATAGATAAAACTCCAACTGAGTTTATCATAAGCTTTTTAAAGGTCCAGTTTGATTGCCATTGTACCTTTCTTTCCTTTTACTCTCCCCATAGAATGAACCAGCTCCTTTGCTACTATAATATTATCCTGAAGCTGACGATTTGGCACGAAGCTAGCTTGGTAAGGAGAAACTAAATTCTCCATTGTAAGCTTAAGCCTATCCACAATGATCTTGCTCATACCCTTATAAATGACATTACACAAAGAAATAGGCCTGAATTGAGAAACATACATTGGCTTAGGAACTTTGGGGATCAAAGTGATCAGAGTACCGTTGACTTCCTCAATGCTGGAAGGGTTTTCTGCATAATACTTGATATCTCTCCAAATCTGTTCACCAATAAATTCCCAGTTCTTTTTGTAGAATGCCGCGGTATAGCCATCCTCCCCTGGAGCTTTCGAATCTTTCATAGAAAAGAAAGCTCATCTGACTTCATCTTTTGAAATTGGAGCACCTAAGTTAACAGCAGTTTCATCGTCCACCTTTGGCCAAAGAGTCTGGACCCAAGGACGATCATGGTTTTCTTCAGAAAATAGTTTAGAGAAGTAAGCATTTATTACCCGTGCAATGTTGTTATCTTCTCTAATCAAGTTTCCAGCATCATCTTTCTACTCCAAGATCATGCTCCTTCTACGTCTAACAATTGTTTTCGTATGATAGTACTTTGTATTCCTATCTCCTTGAGCTATCCAAGTAGCACGAGACTTTTCAAACCACAAAAGTTCCTCCTGTTCTAAAACTTGTTCAAGTTCACCCCTTATCTTGCCTTCAATCTTTTCCAAATGGCTTTTATTCTGCTCAGAAATTGCCCTCTGGATACCTTCAAGCCTACCAATCAACCTGTTCTTCTTATGATGGATATTACCAAACACATCTTTATTCCACTGCTTAATAAGAGGAGTGAAATCACGAAGACTATCAACTGTTCTTTGATCCTGACGCCAGTTTTCCTTGATGAAATTGTTAAAAAATTGATGATCCAACCAAAAACGGAAAGGGCGTTCCACCCCATCAACTTTGCTTGGCTCTAAGGTAATAAGGATAGGATTATGGTCACTGTTAATACGAGGAAGCACTCGAACCTGGCCTTCATGAAACATCAACCTCCATTCAGCATTGCTACAAGCTCGATCTAAACGTTTAAAAACTCTATCTAAATGAAGAAATCTTGGTCCTCGCCATGTAAATTTAGAACCTATTCCTTCAAGATCAATCATCTTTATATCAGTTAGAAGAGAAGCAAATTTATTACATCTGCTAGTATCAACTGGAGCACCACCACGTTTCTCACTTGGAAAGGCAATTTCATTAAAATCACCTGCAATTAACCAAGCAACCGAGATATCTTCTGATAACTGAAGTAAATCATCCCAAAGTCTCTTCTGAATTTCTTCTCTAGGACTTGCATAGATAACAGTATAAAGAAAAGCTTGATGATCTGCCAATGTAACACGAACATGAATAAATTGATGGGTCTGTTTTAATGCTTGAACCTGACACCTATCATTATTCCATAGTAACCAAAGACCTCCCGTAAATCCATGAGCATCCTCCACTATTGAATTATTAAAACCCAGCTTTTTTATTATCTGTTTTGCTTTTGAACCACTTACTCGAGGTTCAAGAATAGCTGCCACCTCAATCTTATGCCTTCGAACCATCATTTGAAACGTTGATTTGAAGCACTTTTTAGCCGCCCCGCGGTAATTCCATGTAACTAAAGACATTAATCAATGGTAATTTGGCAGGATTGTGGGTCCATTGCCATCCCATTGTCATTGCACTGAGTTTCAGATTCTGAAATCATCTCCACCTCAATATTGAGCTTATGGTTTATTGGGATATGCTTTCCTTTATCTCTACTTGGATCAGGCGCTTTTGGTTGGGACAAGCCATGATCTAAGCCGTTGATATTTTGACCATCCTTATCCACCTCCATTTGATAACAATCTTTGTTATAATCAGCAACAGTACTCCTAGCCACCATGGAATCTCCACCGCTTTTACCTCCAATGTCCTTACTACTATGAATCGCAACTTGCCTCCTCAAGTTCGTTGTATTATTGTTTGAGGTACCTCTGTCAACTATCTTCCCATTTATTTGATTTTCTTTTTCATGACCTGTCGTAATCCCACTTAACGTAAATCAGTTGGGGTGTTCCTGTAATTCAACATTAGGGCGGCTTCTAGGGTTTCTGTGTTTGGACCGTTGAGATGTACTAATATCAATATTAACAGGAGAGCCCACCATATTGACGTCATTTATAACAGCATCCGGATTAGTCGCTGGGATATCATGAGTAATATCATCTTCATTAGAGCCCATTAAAGCAGCGTAACGGGAATTTGATTGATTATCAATCATAACCGGCTGATTTGATTGCGGTTGATTACTCCCTTGATTACTCCATTGATTATTCCCTTGATTACTCCCTTGATTATTCCCTTGATTACTCCCTTGATTACTCCCTTGATTACGCCTTGATTCCCTTCGAACCGGTTCCTGCTTCCTGTTGTCCGCCATTGGAGTTTGAATTTTTTATCGACGTTGACGTTGCACCACCATCCAAGGACCTAATCCATTTTTCTGAAACTCAGCCTCATCTTTTTTCCCGTCTTGATTTTGCTGATTATCCTTTCCTTCAACTGGTATCTCAGGACAACAATCTTTACTATGTCCATAGCGCCCACAATGGAAACAAATAAGGCCTAAACCTTCATATTCTATCTGTTTAGTTGCTCCGTCCAACACATATTCACCCTTCAAAGGCTGAGCAAGATCCAGTTCCACGCAAATTCGAGCAAACTGTCCTCTTACATGCTCATTAGTTGTCTTATCGATCTTCAACATTTTACCTAGCCAGTTACCAATACGGCGGAAAAAGGCTTCATCATAATACTCCAGTGGGATACCCGGTAATCGCACCCAAGCTGCAATCTTCATCACACTTTCAGCATTTGGTCTAAAAGCTGGCTCCCAACGTCGGAGTGATAAATAATGGCCTAAAATAATCCAAGGACCACCATTTAGAGCAAAAAGAAGATCATCTTTGTTGCTAAATTGCACCACATAGAATCCATTACCTACATCTGTAACGTTAGTCTTTCCAGCTCTAGCCCATAGTATTTCAATCTTCTTTTTCATGAAAGCCACTCCTGTATTCCTTCCAAGTAGTTTTACAATGAGAGCTTTTTCCCAAACCTTCAGCATTCTTGTTCTTGCTTTTCTAGTACAACCAAAATGAGTTCTACCATCTTCCTCTGTCCACATTTTAATCCCACCATAATTCACATCCTCTTCCTCCACAGGTGCACTTTGATCAACATTTTCTTCCAAATTTCAATCCATTCCTTCCCAGTCATCTGTTTCACCATTGTGTTGCATGAGCATCTCTCGCCAAGTCATCTTTTTATTACCGTCGTCAACATCCAAGATTCATGTCTAGGAACCCTAGACTGTGATTCAGTAAACACCATATCTCCATCTTTATTTCTCTTATTTATCCTACGTAGTAGATCTTCTTCTTCTTTTGAAGTTTGGCCTTCAGTAGCTATATTTTCCTCCATGAAAAGGAAAACCCTAGCAGAGCATTTTTTGAAAAGGAAAACGCTATCAGAAATTTTTTTAAAAGAACAAACTTTTTACCGTTAGAAAAAACATTAACACTACGTATTCTAATTTAAAAAGTTTATCTTTAAATTAAAAATATCACTGTATAAATCTCACGCCAGGGCCCGTTGGGCTTACGTAAATCAGTTTTATAAGTGGCACTGTTACAAATTCAGAGCATCGTGTCACGACATTACATTTATGAAAAATATGTTTTTATCTTTATTTTAATAAATATTAAATAAGTGAGTTTTATTTTAATGGCTTGTACATAATGACAAATTTGCAACCTGCTTTTGCTTATATAGCCTTGGATTTAGTATACGACATGTACTTGGGACATGTCGAACATATTTTTGGTGTTGTAGGAGTATGTATATTTTTCCTAAAAATAGAAAAGAGTGGGAATTCAGGAAAAAATAATCATATAAGGGTAGGTAAAATAAGAAAGATAAATATATTATTATTTTTATATTTAATAAAGGATGCATTTCGGGACATGTCCCATGAACCTTGCCTTGCAGTTGGGGCACAGTTGCAACAGATAATGCTGCCACATCATTTGAATTTTGATCTTCTTTTTTTTATCTCGCAGAAATCCAAGAATTATCAAATGGGTTCACCAAATAAGACAAGCTGTGACTTCACAATTACATGATTTGACTCATAAAGTGTGAATGTATCTGCATATGCAAAGAACATCAGACTAGATACATGCGTGCCATGATATTCTATTGCCGTAAGAAAAAATTACCTGGGTTCTAGAATCACACTGTGCAATGTCATTCATACAGTGGAGCCAGCAGTAAAGTTTTTTCGATACTTTCAGTAGTAATAAGGAGTTGGAAGCGAAGATAAAATTTCTTCAGTTTAATTATATATATATAGCTAATTAATGGAAAGCGATCTACAACTGCTTCAAAGGAGATATCCAGTCCACGGTTCAAGTGGTGATAGATCCAACAGTTCAAATTGCAATCGGATTGATGTCAGTCTCATGTCCATAATAATGGAGTGTGTTCTTTTCTTAATGTTTGGTGGTTAAGTATGTATAATATATTTAGTGGTACATGATTTAATGCCTAAATAATCTCTCCAATAAAGAAATTATAAAAGTATAGAAGGAGGCGAAGAGTCACCTCATCTTTATATAAAGAAATGGAAATTGTTTCTAAAAGGTTAAAACTGTTGTTAGACATTGTAAAAATATTCCTCACATACTATTGTTGGTAAAATTTGAGAATGTATCTCTAGTTTTAACGAGGAAGTTTGAATTGTTGTAATTTTACTATTCACAAAGTGGGAGATTTGTTAGACTAAGTATGGTGATTTTTACTCCCGGAGATTTTTTGTTTGTTTGTTTGGAGGTAAGAACTAAGAAGTTTGACAGAGAAGGGTTTAGGTATTCTTGAAATATTAAACCAAAAGACATCAAGTCTTGAAATGTTTAATAATGTTATCTTCAACTTAAGAAATCCTAAAGATAATGTAAGGTGTTTTTTTTTTTTTTTGTAAGTTACAAGGAATAGAAGACACAACCACAGACTCACACACACCCTATTACACACACCCACACCACTAGGCTAGCCCTAGTGGTTAATAATGTAAGGTATTGAGCTTGTATGTTAACCTACTTGGACTATATTATTTATGGAAAAAGTGTTTGTTATTTTTTATTTTTTTTGGATAAATGGAATTAAAGACAACTACAACTTAGTACACAATCTTGGGCTAGCAATGCCCCTCAAGTCCCTATTAACTAAATCAATACAAACATGTGGTACTTCATGCCAAATATGGTCCTGTAAAGAACCTTAGGATACATCATCCCAAAAGCTAGCTCAAAGGGTGAGAATGTCCAAGGCCTTATAAAGGCCACATTAGTTACCCACACAATCAATGTGGGACTATATAATCTCAACACGCTCCCTCACACGAGAGCCCATTGGGCTTGAAGAGTGTACAATGCAACAGGCCCAGTCTACCTGTGCTAAGAAACGCCACAAGAGAAAATGGGGGGCGGCGATGTTTTGATACCATGTAAAGAACCTTGGGAAGTTAAGAACCTTGAGGTCACCACCCCAAAAGCTAGCTCAAGAGGTGGGAGTGCCCAAGGCTTTATAAACTCCACATTAGTTGCTCTTCAACCAATGTGGGACTATATATCTCAACACGCTCCCTCACGCAAGAGCCCTCTTGACTTGAAGCGTGGATTATGCAACAGGCCCAATCTTTGGTTTACCTTTTTGTGCTTCCACTTTAAAGTGGGGGGCGGTGAGGATCGAACCTCAAGCTCTGATACCAAGTTAAGAACCAATTCAACCCAAAAGCTTAAGCTTCACATGCCAAATATGGTCCTCTCTATAAGTGTGGCTTAGCTTCACATGCCATTGCCTCCTCCTCATCCCACCAATTCTCTTAACCAAAGAGGCTAAAGGGTGATGTCTGTCAGATTGTCACAACCCTTACTGATCAAGATAATAGCAGTTTGAAAATATCCTTCCACCCAAATCTTTCTAAGGCCAAGATTCCACGTGAGGGCTATCCCGTTAAAAAAACCCCATAGCTCAGGTCTAGTGTAGGAACCCGACCCCAAGTTCTTGCAGAACCCAAGCTACCCACTTGCCCGCAGCGTCTATGATCACACCCCCACAACTAGACCTCCTTCCTTCCCTGCAACAGGAGCCATCAACATTGAGTTTATACCAATCATCAGTAGGAAAACTCCAGCTAATGAATCTTTCCACCTTGTCATGATGTTGTAAGCCATGACTACTGAGAATTCTACGAGCCTCGTCTGATTGAGAAACAAAGGCTTTAAATGTTTGTCATTTTAAATAACACAATTTTGTGTCATTTTTAATGAAACTACATTGTTTTGGTGTATTTTTACATTCTTTTCTTTTCACAAAATTAGGAAGAAAAAGAAAATGGAGGAGAAAGAATATAAAAACACAACAAAATGACGTAGTTTCATTAAAAATGACATAATTTTGTGTCATTAAAATAACAAATATTTTTCCCAATGTTAATATATCCAACATTTTTCACGTTAATATTGGTCTCTACTTTTCTCTCTCTTTCCCTTTCTCTATTTTCTATGAGACATACTGACAAGAGATCCACTTCCAAGTTCTGTGATTGCTTCCGCGCGCTGATGGTGGACGGTGTCCCAACCCATAATGCATCCACACGGCACACCACAAAGTCAATGGACCATTGGCGCACCTGAGAATTCTTATTTTGTGTGCCAATGATAGAGAGGCAAAAAGATTGCAGGGGATAAAATAGCAGAAGCTGCTGTTTTTAGCGAGAGTGCTTAAGTAGGGATTGGTGGGGAAGACATAAGAGATGGGAAGAAAAGTGAGGTGGAAGAAAAATATAAAGATTGCGATGAGAAAATTCAAAATTGAGACTATATAAACAATTGAGAACATAGATGTATAAGTGATCATGATGGATTTAAGTGATGAAGGGTATGTGTTGTCCATTGTGATTTTATCAGGGGTAAAATTAAAAGACACATTACACTTTGCTTCGAAGCTGAAACAAACTAATAAACACGAATAAAGCTGTTACTAATAGGTGGAAGGAAATTTAATTCGATTGCTTAATGCTCCTGCAGAGTACATGAATAATAGCTACGGATCAGAGCACAAAATAGGCCTTCTTAAATGATTCGCATTTACGAAACTTAGCATACAATGGTTCCTTGTTAACTTCAACATTAAGGGACACATCACCAACGGATCTAGAAACTAGTAACATCAAAAACTTCATAAATGAGAGTGTTTTTACGCGAATTTAAGCCAGCCTATATTTATACGGTACTTTAATTGATATGGCAAAATAAAAAGATATGTGGAAAATATTGGTCCTCTTATTTTAAGTAACAGCTATTCATTTGTCATAACCAGCTTTAAATTATAATTATAATCAAATATTAATCTTCAATCATTTTATTATATTACTTTGTATTTCGTAGTGTTTTAATTCAGATAGGTATTGTATAGATCATCATCAATTAATAATTATTTTGTTATGACAAATTTAGTACGATAAATTTCAATTCATTATGTAGTTTTAAAGGAGAAATTTATGGTAAGTCCCTTTACCTTCGATATCAGCTGCAAATTTTTAGTTGGTATAAGTAACTGTTGTATTGCTAATTGATTATGATAATTTTTTTAAATTACACTTTTCTTCATTGAAAAATATTTACATTACACTGTTTTTTCCCCCTTTATTTTCAGAAATTACACTCTCCTAAAGAGAGATCAGATACCTCATTTCTCACCCCAAAAGACTCTCAAGACTAGCCCGTGAAAAAGAGAATATTTCGTCTCACGAGAAAACAGAACAACGGAACAAAAGTCACTCTGCCTATGCTCCTCCGATACTTTATTTTAAAGCTTTTGAACTTGATTTCAGTTTTGCAATTGTAGATAGTAGACACCAAAGAGATATGCACTAATCGCAAAGCGTTGTCGTCTAATAAAATTCACAGCAAATTGAGATGTTTAGTGCCAGCAACCAGATTCCACCTGAAAAATAAAAAGGTTGTAGATATTATGGGTATTAATTGTGCCCATAAATACTATATGAACCTAACCACAAACACTATTGAAGCATGGCATATGAAAAACAAGATTCCCAATTGT